TTTCAACTCCCAGAATTCCCCAGCCAGCCATGGGGAATTCTGGGAGTTGAAATCCACACATCTTAAAGTCCCAAAGGTTGAGAAACCCTGCACTAGGCAATTGTGAAAAAGAAAGATGTTCTGTTGTAAGCTTGCAGCAGCCATTAAAGGCAGTTGCATTGTACTTCTCCATGATTTTCACAACACTGAAGATTCTGCTTGTGGCCACAATTAGATGCTCAGCTGCAAAAGACAAGTTGGCTTTCCTGTAACATGGCCTTTGGGCTGGGAGTGCTGAGTTTTCGTAGCTATAAATGCAGAGTGCTAGCCTCAGGCAAAACAACTCCAGTATTTTTGCAATGCCTTGTCTTGATTTGTACCATTTAATAACTTCCTATTCATGGGGAGTAACCCTTATTGTTCCCTTTCGATATGTGCAAGGGGGCCAAAAGCATATTGGCTAAGAGGATATTTAAAGAATGTCATTCCAGTTTTAAAAATTAGCTTACTTGGCTGGAGGAACAAAAAGATTAAAGTAGCATTTTCTGCATGGAGGTGTATGTCTATGTGGCATAGCCAGCTATTTCTGTTCCAAATAGAGAACTTACAATGCCAATAGATTAGTTTTCAGTTGTTACATTATATTTGGAGGCTTTGAAGGGTTAAAAAAAAGTATAATACAAACCAGGTTAGAGTTTAAATCCATGTTTTTCAAACTTGGCAACTTTAAGATGTGTGGACTTCAACTCCCATAATTCCCCTGGGAATTCTGGATGTTGGAGTCCACACATCTTGAAGTTGCCAAGTTTGAAAAACACTGGTTTAAATGTACGTTGTACTTAAGGACTGATTTCCAATTTGTTTAAGAAAAACAAAAGTAGGTTTAACTGCTAGCTCATTTTTCTGAAGGCCAAACTACACATGGCTATAGCAAACCTGGGTTGTTAAATAGAACTGTTCCTCAACCATGTCAGGTTGGAGGGTCTGACTTCAAAATGCAAAAGAGTCATGGAGGTGGGCTTCTGAATCAATTCCTTTCCCCCCTGCATGCTGCTTTTTGGCTCTATATACTCCCCCAAATAATGTGCCCACTGAGATTCTTACGTGGAGTTCTCATCCTAGAAGTGGACCTGATTGAAGGAGAATGTATATGGTGGTATGCATGAGAGTGAATGTGAGTTAGTGGTGGAAGGGACAGGACAGTTCAACTACCCTCCATCTGTGGGACCCATTTTTATTTTCTAAATCTTTCTCATCATATCCTGCCTCAGTGGGACAAAACTTTAAAGTCAGATTTAGCACAGTCGTTCAACCTGCTGAGAATGCAACCTTTCCGTGTGTTCCTCACCAAAGGATCTCATTTGGAATCACTGTTTTGAAATGAATTTCCTATATTTGAAAAAATACGTACCTGCTTATAAGCTAAATCTGAATGTGAGAGTCACCATAAAGTAAGTTGGACCTGAACTATTTGGAGAGAAAATTCTCTCCAATGGGTGACAGCAAGCCCTGCCTGAATTCTGGGTAGGTTGATTATTTCTTTTTAACGAAAAATGCATAGCTGAATACACAATTCTTAAAATGGCTGGATCACCAGTCGGCATCACCCTCCTTGGATACATTGAGTCCCACTGTGTATTGGGCTAGAATTCTCTACTAACGCTCTACTAAGTCATGGAAGTACATTAGCAGTTCAAACAAAAGGCCTTTAAAAAATATGAAGCAAAACTCTGCAATTGTGGAAGTAGAAACATTGCTGCTTTGTATGCTAAGACGCACATTTTTAAAGTGATTTTTTAAAGCTGATATTTGCTGTTTGGAAATTGCCTTTTTATGAATTTGCCAATGTAGACTTTTATGAGGAATGTTTGTATGTGTATATACACTCATGCTCGTGTCCACACACACACATATATCAGGCGAAAGAAAATGTGTTTTGAAATGCTGCTACAGTTAAAACACTGGGGCTCAAGTAATAAAAATAAGTTTTGATTTAATAGCAAGATCTTTTTTTTAAAAAAAGCTGGCTTATTTGGTGCTAAAATGCTCATTGAGATGGACCAAAGCTGTTTCTTGGGGCAATTATTGTGGTTCTAGATCTTCTTTTCTTCCAGTAGCTGATGGTATCTGCATAATTTTCTCCATTTCATTTACAAAACCACCCCATGAGGAAGGAGGACCTTTGAGAATGACCGAACATACTTATGGTCTTGTAGAGAACAAGGAAGATGACCTTGACAGAGACAGACAAGGGAGCCTGCATATCTGTCAACTTCCTTACTCTCTCATGTCTTCAGCGGGGCTTAGTTCTCAGAAGACATTGGTCGATTAGAAAAACACAGGAAGCACATTTTCCCTTTGACTTGGCACAGCATTTCATACTTTATGGTAAGGATGGGGAATCTTATCAATTTGGGACTCAACATTTTTAGAGAGTCCAAGAGCCCCTGTAAAGAGGCACGGAGGACAGTCTGAGATGTTCTGTTTTCTCCTGCATATTTTTGGAAAGTCTCCAAAAAGTTGCTGCTTGTGCCTGTTGCATTGTATTCACAACACTGTATTTTCTGCCTTAGAATGGCAAGAAATTGTGCCATCAATTTTTAGCTATCCCAGAGGGGGCTCCAGGAATGGCCAAAGGGGGGGTATAGCTGAGTCAGATTGTCAATCTCATTGAAGGAATACTCTAGATTCCCATAGAAAATATCTGTAGCTCAGGGTTGAACTCTGGAGTTCTTGATGCTCTCTGAGCTTGGTTGTTTGCTTGCACCCATTTCATTACCCAACTAAAGTACAGTGGGGCAAAAAAGTATTTAGTCAGCCACCAATTGTGTAAGTTCTCCCACTTAAAA